ATGTATGCACATGTATGTATATGTACATGTGTATATATCTGTATATATGTAAGTTCGCATACATTAGGCTGAGAAATTAATTTTTTGTTTTTTGAGTTTCATTTTACGAAACTAAAGTGGTAGAAAGCTAAAATGACAAAAATGCTTACGCTTTTTTAATTACTTATCTCGCTGAAATTGAAATCCGCACTTTATAAAAAAATTGACTGATTGCTTATGTGTACGTACGTATGTATGTTTATAGAAATATAACGGAAAAAATTCTTAATAAAATTCCAAGAAAATAATTATTATGAATTTTATAGTAAAATTTTAAATGATAAGAATTATTGAGTAACTTTACACTATACACACTATAAAAAGATTGTCTAAGAATTAGACGCAAGTATGTATGTACATTGTTATATTGTGTAATAGTTTACTATACGGTTGTACACATAATGTCCAATAAAAGTATTTTTCGTATACATACATGCATAAAGTATATTATGTAAATAAATTGTTACATGTTATACTTTACAGTATATAATTTTGCTTATTTGACTTGCGGATAAAAATGTAGGTTTGGCAAATTTTAATTGTAAAATATAATTTAATTTTTATTTTAAATTTACTTTATTATAGGTAGGTATATCATAATATATATTTGTTATACTAAAATTCGAAATTAAGAAAATTTATAACTATACGATAATTAGTTACGATAATTACGATACCATTATTATTATAAAAGAAAATAATAAACATGAAACTAAATTCTTTACAAGTTTATTTATAAAATTACAATTTTATCTATTTGCCCTATATTTTTCTCCACTTATGTACAATATACTTGTAAATATGTTACATTAATCTATATTTTACAAAACTATCCATAAAGATTTGTATGTATGTAAACCTTGAGTGTATGACGTAAAATGTATTATAGATTTATTTATATAATTTATTATTAAACACACAATTTGTATATGTACACATGTGCAGCATAAATCTGTATACAACAAATGTTAGAATTTTATAAACATGCTTTTCTAATACATAATATACATATTTTTTATGTATGCTTGTAAAAAATATCAATATCAATGTAATTGCTATATACATACATATGTATGTTTATATTGTACTGTATTGGTTTTTTACATATATTTTAAATATTGCATAATTCGAGGTAGGATAAAATTATATGTTATTATTATGTAATAAATTTTTTTAAGTATGTAATTATTCTTTTTACAATTTTTGATAAGTTCAATGCAAAGTCTCGTATTGTTCGTATTCTAATGAAATATTAACAAAATGCCAAACCAAATAAAAAGAAAAAATAACCTTAGAACACGTTATATATGTACATATTTATTAATAAATTTTATACACATTACAATATCTTGCATATAAGTATGCACTTCATATGGAATAAGTGTTTCTATTTTGACTCACTGCCATAAATAGCAATACCATAATAAAAATAATAACAATTATTATTACAACAAACAATAATAATAATCACAATATATAATACTATATAATGTGTAATGTGTAATATATTATGTATATGTACGATAGGTACAAGTGTATGTGCATTTTACATAATTATTCTAAGATAAAAATATTGCATAATGCAGAACAAAAGTATTATAAATGTATGTATAATAGTTTGTTTACAAACACAAACTTTAAATATTATGTTGTTTAAGTATACATTATTAAAGTCACCATTGTGCCATATAAAGTCTTATGCAAATTAATATGTATATTCTCATAGCTTTCTACATAAAATTAACCTTTTTCTACCGATATACGCTATTTCAATTTGTTGTAATACTAAAATGCTCAGTATACCTCTTGTTGTCATTACAAACACTATCCTTTTAATAATCCAAATTTTGTAATATGGTTAGAATACAATATCGGTTGATTTCGTATATGTATAACATTTTCTCTTATACTTATATATACTCGTAAAGGTATAGCGTTTTATTGTTTTCACAACAAATCCCGCACAAGTTTTATAGCGTGCATGGTTTCTAACTTAATGCCTTAACCTCTGGTTTATAGTCGGAAAGCACAAGAATATATCACATTTTTATATACATATGTAAGTAAGTTTATAGAAGTAAGGTTATATGTATAAGGCTATGTAATTACTTTATGTAAGTAAGGTTATATGTAGATGTTGCATTTCAAATTGTTTTCTTAATCATATTTTAAAATACGTATGTCACTATTTTTTGTTTGAAATCTGGTCACCTTAAATAATAATGCATATCTACCTAGAATATTAAAAAAAAAAATAAAGTTAATATGTATGTACATATGTATATGAAATTATGCAAATATTATGCAGATGACGCGTTACACCTGTCTAGCATAGTAAAAATAATTGGATAATTCTGTTGAATCTATATTCAACAGAATACACACATTATAATTTCTGATAATAATTCTGCAAAAAACCTAATTGATATTTTTATCAAATATATACATAATATATTTATGCATATAATATGTATGAAAGTACAATTTATGATTCATGGTAACAGTCAATATTATGCATGTATACAAATGAATATATAATACCTACATATGTATATTAATGAATGGACATTTACTATATGCAATATTTATATACATATGTACATATGTACAAATATAACTTAAAGGTACTCAGAAATCATAACAAAAAAATTTCTTTTACATTATGTTTGGCCAAACAAGGCATATGATTATGTAAATATTTCATACCTGCATACATTCTAGTCTAACACAATATGCGAATACATATACATATGCAAACATTCATACATAATATCTGCAGATAACAAGCAAATATATTTTCGATTTGAAAGAACTATGTCATAGTTTTTCTTTAAAGAAAAATATTAATCTTAAAATATGTGTACACACATATGTATACGTATGTACATCATAATAATATAATACATAATAATTTGTATATAATTGCCGCAGAGATAATAAAAATATAGATTTAAATAGAAAAAAAGATATAAAAATATAAAAATAGTGTGAAAAACAACAAAAATAGTAAGAGAAATATTACTCTACGTCTATCTTTTATACTCAACTGAAAACGAAAAAAAAAAAAAACTAGCTAAGTAACGATATTTACGGGGAAATATTTTTTTTTTTCATATTAAAATGCTCGCGCTTTCTCATTTTTATTATATTTTTAATTTTTTTCTTGCTACCGTACTCAATTTGTATTTAAACAATCTTATAGCCATGTACGTTATACTTATACATGAACATGTATTTTTAAAGTACATACGTGTATAAAAGATAATATACCGGTATTTAATTTATCTATATATGCATGTAAAATAAAGCATAGCGAGAGAGAAGATACATACATAACATACTCATTATACTATACTTGACTATAACTATTTCTCTATAATATATTTTTTATGCACACTTATATACATACGTACATATTATTCTTGATAAATTTATTATTTGTTTTTATTATTATTTTTCTGTTATATTTTCGTTTTTATTGCTGTTGTTTTTTCTTATTTTGTTTTTTCTTTTCTTATTTTTCGTTCGTTTTATTTCGTTTTCGTTGTTGTTTGATTTTATTGACTTGACGAGAGTTCAGTTTGTTATTGTTATTATATTATTATTTCTGTAGTATTTTATTATAGCTATAGCGTTATGTATAAATACAAAAACAATACAATACCATCTATATACTATATATTATTTTCTATATATATATTTTTTTTTTGTTTTGATTGCGAGTCTACTGAGTACACTATATTCATGACGTCACAATTTAACATTTAATGTTTTTTGTATATAAATACTGAAAGCAGACTGAATTGACTCTCAGAAAAATTCAAGTAAAGCACACGGTTGTATCGGAGAAAATAAAAAATCTGAAAAGAAATTTTAAAATTTTTTTATTAAAAAGAATAGAAGAAGAATTCTAAAAAAAATTATTATTTTTTTTGAAAAGCGGAAATTAAATATAGAAAAAAAAAAATAAAATATTTTTTTTTTCTTTGCAAAAATTATTTTAAAAAATATTATTGAAAATTTGCCCTAAAAAATATTTTTTTAGGCGATAGATTTTTTCAAATTTTCTTATGAAACATTAAAAATCAAATTTTAAGAAAAAAAAACAAAAAAAAAACAGTGTCCTTAAATGGAAGAATGGATATTTTAGCTTAAAAGCAAAAAAGTGAAAATATAAAATTTTGTGTCCTTTTTTGATATTTCTTTGTTTTGTGTATTTAAAAAAGAAAATTTAAACTTTAAGAAAAATATTTTAATGGAAATTCCGTTTTTGGAAATAGTATGTTAGGAAGATTTTATAAGGAAATTATACAAAAAACAAAACATATGTACTACTTGGTAGCTTACAGTTAATTACGGAAAGAAAACATCTATAAAATAGAAAGAAATCTTCTAAAAAAAAATCTTTATTATTTTGAGAAAAAAATTCTAGTCAAAAAATTATTACTTAAAATTTTTTGAAATTGAAAGCAAAAAAGTAGAGGAAAATATTAATCATTCGTTTTTGATTATATTTTTTGTGATATTAAGCTAAACTAAAGTAAAAAAAAAAAGCATTATTAAATTATATAACTTTAAAAAACAGAACATTTAAAACTAAATTCAATTTTTTGATAATTTAAAACAAAAAAGGGAAACTTTTACAATTGAATTTTCAAAAAAAGAAATAAAAATCATTTAAGAAAAAACTGTGATAACTGAAAAAGAAAAGTTTTTTAATTACAACACAAAAATTTATTTTATTAACTTATACTTTTATTTAAAGAAAATTCTCATATATTAATTTTTTGAGAGATATTTGCAAAAAATTAAAGAAAAAAAGAAAACATTTACTTAAAAATTTTATAAGTTACTTAAATCATTTTTCATTAAAAATTAAATTTGCACTCTTTATAAAAAAAAAATTTATTAAAAATGGTTGGTAGTACTGGCACTTTAATGACAATGCGTCTTGTTCGCAGTAAATTACGTAAACGTGAAGAAACATCAGCTGTTAGCCCACCATCATCTGGTAGACATCATGTTGAGGCTCATCATCAAACAAATTTAAATAATTATCATAATAATATTAATAGTAATCATCATAGTCAACATCATCAATTAACAACAACAACAACAATTGCAACAATATCATCACAACAACAACAGCAACAACAACAAAATCAAGTATTATCAAATAATGAAAATGGTATTATACAAAATAATATTGTTAGTAAGGAGCTCCCACAAGATAGTTGGGTATTTCCACCATTACCACCACAACCAAATATTTATTGCATGAATACAACGGTAAGTCTTTTTTTTTTAAATATTTTATTAATATTTTAAATTTCAATAAAAAAAAATAAAATACACATATTAAATTCATTTTAGAAAAATATTGAGGGAAACCGAAATTCTAATTTGTTCTATACTTGAAAACTGATTTCGTAAACATGTTTATTAGCCCTAAAGGAATAGAATACATAATAAAATTTCTCACATAATTTTTCATATTTCGGCGTACTTTTGTAAGTGCATATGGATGTGAAATCCTTTAAAAACGGTTTCCACCAATAAAATCTTAAAAAGAATCAAAAATGATTCTCCTTGAAGTAATTTTCCATTAAAAAGATTTACCGCACATATCTATAAAATAATAAAGTTCATTGATCGTTAATTCTTATAAAATTGTTAGTTAAATTAACTGACAAGACGACAAGGATAAAAGTCTGATGATCTTTTTTAATTGTTCCTTTTTTTTTTCTTTCATTCTTATGCTCTTTTTTTTGTGAGAAATAAAATATAAACCAGCATTTTTTTTTTCGGTGATATAAAAACTGGAAAATCACATTTTATCACATGACATATAGAATGAAAAAAAAAATTAATAACGAAATTCAATAGACTGTTAAATTTTTCACACAGCCACACACACCCATATATTTACGTTATAATCATAATGCAGAAAAAAAAAAGTCCAAAAATAGGGTCCCTGCCCTTATTAAAGGTTACTGATATTTACTAGTATTATTTTCCTTACCTTACCTTCCTTGTTATTCTCCTTTAAAATCATTTTCATTGTATTCTCCGGTTTATAGCCTTGATTATTTTGATATTTCAATGACCGTCTCTCCATTTAGAATTTTTAGATGGGGGAAAAAAAGAAACGAGAAAAATATAACAAATCACAAATAATTATTCTTATATATACTATATATGCATATATATACATATATTTAAACGAATGGATCTTCTCTGTAAAAATGTCAATGATCTCACCAAACTTGGTGATCTCTTCATTATTATATGCGTTATATACTATACTGATTCTTATTTACCACATTACATTAATGAATTTTATATTATATATAAATATATAAATCAATCGTATATATAAGTATAAAAAAATTCTTTGATCGAGCTCACAAATATGGTATACATTCTTACAAAATAAATCTTAATTGAAAAGATAAAAAGGGCCCGATTAAAAATTCTTGTATATACATACTTTTATACTACTTGTATACAGGAAATTGAAACATAACAATTAACTTGAACGAAGGGTCATTCCTTTGTTGACCATTTGATGTTTCATGTATAAGTATTTAATATACATATACATAGCATGTATTTTAAATAAAACAAAGAAAAGGAATTTATAGGATACCTACCCATATGAAGAAAAAAAAAAAACTTTCAATTTTTTTGGTACAGTCATATGGGATATAACCGATTCTTTATTGAATTCGAAGAAGATAAAAATAATAAATTGATGGCAATTAACAAATTATTGTTAAAATGTACAGTTTTCACATTTACCTATAACGCTCACATTCTTTTTTTAAATTATTCAAACTTGAGGAACGGAAAAATTTAAAAATTCCATATTGACATGGGATACTTACTCAAATTTTATGCTAAGACTGTAATCATACTTTCTAAATATTATGCGCTTGTCACAACGCAACTTGAATTTGGTATTGTGTATTTTGCGTATACATACTTTATTTTCACAAGTATAGGCACTATGTAAAACTTAAAAGTTAACCTCTTTTTCTTATTTTGTTTTGGTGCTTTTTTGCCGTCTGAGATATTATTCATAACTTTCGCCTTGTTTCTTTCAAGATATTTGATTACATAATAATCCATGACCAAAACAATGACAAAAACAAAAAAGTCAATTCAAATTACCGTTGATTTCTTTATTTACTTTAAAAATTGATCTTCATTTTTTTTTTATTTTCACCTTATTTCACCTTACTTATAAAAATTTTATACGAAAGATAAAATCAAAAATATTACAAAGACAAAAAAGACTCTGATAAAAAAAAATATCGAAATTTTTATTTTCACTTTAAAATATTGAAAATGTCCAAAACATAAAAAAAAAACACAAATTAAAAATAATTAATGATTTTAAACCATTTGAAAAATTTCAATAATGAAATTACGATATTACGATATTTTAAAATTCACCACTTATTTATATTTTGACATTAGAAATTAATAATCCATCAAAATTTTAAGAAAAATAAAAGGCAAGTGGTGGTTTCACCAAAATTAAACCAAAACAAAATTTTTAAATTTTTGTTTGTTTTCAGTAATTAGTGGGTATTTTTATTTTTTTTTTTAGATTTTTATAATAATATTTCACATATGTACTTATAAATACGGTTTGTTAATACAATTGAAGAGACCTTCAAAAACCCACCTCAATACTTTTATAAGCACATACAAAAAAAAAAATTGTTAACTAGTTTTTTTGTTTAACTATAGTAAGTGAGTAAGCTAGTAAGTAAATGTGCATTGCATTACATGATTTAAAAGACTCTCACGTATGGTTATACAGCGTGCATTGAAAAATAAATATGTATATACAGTAGGAACTAGATTTATACGTACGTAGGTTTTTTTTTTCGATTTTTTTTTTTAATTTTCAAGTATACCAGAACGTGTATTTTAAATATTTTGCTTTCTAGTCCGATTAATATTATTACTAGTTTTAATTTATCATAAAACAATTCAACGTGATTCTAACAAAACAATTCAATCTGTTATATATGTATATATAAATGTATACACACCAATTTTGAAAGTATGTAGAATATTTTAATGCATTTTAATAATGGGTAAGAATATACACATGTATGTATACGTATACTTTTAACTATTATTTTTATTTTATTATTATTTAACTCTGGATATCGTACATACATATGTATATAGCTGTACTTTCATATTATAATATAAGTATGAATTTTATACCACATTTTGAAAAACAATAATAAAATCACGTTATATTTAATATGATGAATTTTGTTCTCGTTGTTTATTATTAATTTTGTTTACTGAAATAAGTTCATATGCACAAATATATATGTATTTATATAAACAATATAATAAACTTTTATACATTTATTTACCTGAATTCAAGTAAATTATAATAACAGATTACATTTATACCTGAATCAGGTTCTATTTTATATGGTTATACAAACTTTTAAAAATAAGTAGGTATACTGAGAAAATTAGTAAAATATTTTATTTTTTTTTCTGCCGATACGTTATACTTATCTGTATAACAATTTTCAATATCTAGAGGTATCTATTTACTGTATAAAAATTTATAATAGCATATAATTATTAAGTATGTATAATGAAAGTAAAGAATAAGAATTAAACTCTCAAACCATCTTGTTTTTCTTCAATAAATTTTCATGAAATAAGAGTTTAAAATGAATCCGGCAGTGTTTTGTTCAGTTTTTCTATGATTATTTTTTATAAATCCCATAAAATCAAATTGGGTACTAAATTTTTGTATCGGGTCGTATTCTGTGGTTGTTTCCAATCTATATTACATGCTATGTTCTATATTTTTTAATACACAACTTCTATGCATATGAAATTTAGGTATACTTACGATGTCTAATAGGTAACAAATTAATTTGCATACAATAATTATTCTTTTTTCATTATAATTTTTTGTATTTTATTTTATTATAAATAAAATTAAATTGGAAAACAATTAAATTTTGTAAATACATGGATCAAAAATTAAATATTAGAAAATTTTATTTTAAATTTTTTGGGTTAAATTAAAATAGTAATAAGCATAATAATCTATGTATGTATATGAAATTTAAGATTCCATTTCAATTAAATTATCTTATATACATATACGTATATGTATTGTAAACTTTAATTCTTTTAAATATAGTGAATTCATATAAAAATACAAAATAAGTAAATCAAATTTTTTACTTATTCAATTAAGTTCAAAGAACAAAATGATTACCCATTTTACAAATCAATTTCGAATAAATTTCTATACTAACATAATGTATACATTCTGATATAATATTTAGGTCTTGACAAAAAATAAATTATATATAAGTTTATTTATATGAACTTGTATACGAACATATTTCAATTTAATTTTCTTGCAATATTTTCCTGATCTCTTTTTATACATTACTTAAATATTTGTCTTATAAGGCGTATCCCATATATACAAAATATATAAAAGAAATCAAAGAAAGACAAATTAATTTATACAAATTGTACATAAAATCTTTGATTTTATTTATTTTATTCTTTTTTAATTAAATAATAATTCTTGTTCTCTCAATTAAAATCATTTGTTTGTTTTTCATTCTTTTCATTCTTATATTTATTTTTTTTTTTGCCATTCCAATTAAAAATTCAATATTCTTGAAATGATAAGTTATACATAAATGTGTGTATATTTGTACTTATTACAATTGTACATAAAACAATATATTCCAAGTAAATCATTTATCAAGTCGAATCAAATTGATTTAGTAGACCTTCCTATGAAATGAAAATTTTTTTTTTTCAGTACAGTACACAAGAATCAATTCAATATTAAAAAACTTCATTTACTTAGTATATCGGTTATACATAATTATTTTAATTATTTTATATATGTATTACGATGAATGTATATCAAGTATAATTAATTGACTATATAATAAATTGTATAAATACTTAATAAGTTGAATACAATGAACAGCAAATTATGTAGGAAAATATGTGCATTATGCATTTTCTCTTCGCTTAATAAAATTGAGAAAAAAATAACCTTGTTTTAAAATGTTTAATTATTTTAAGAAAATTTTATGATTTTTAATATATAATTTTTTTTTTTTTATTGAAAATTTAACAATAAAATAAAACGATTTTGGATTGTTTTTTTTTTCTTTTAAAATAAGGAAATTAATTAAAATATTTTATGTTTAATTTTACGCGCATTTTATTTAATTTTTTTTTTTCACTTGTCTCCTTAT